ATGTTTTTAAAATCGTAATGTAAACATAGACCGACTTAATTATGTGACGTCTACATCACAAAACGACGGCATATTTTCTCGAAAACTATATTTTGACGTAGCAGAACCGGTCTGGTTCTAGGTCTGTTCGGATAGTATGAATGTTTGAGCGGAACGTTTCAGTCGACATCAACAATATCAAATAAACACTAAGTTTAACATTTATTTGTCTTATTTTACCTACAATTTCAGAAAATGAATGTATACTTCCAAAATAAATTCAAAATTTTTGTATTTTATTTTCCAATGCATTTACGGATATATGACGAGCTCACGACAATCTATAACTAAGCACTTGTTTTTCTACATCTCCGTTTATCTTAGAGCTAGGATAAGGTTTAACGGAATTAGATTTTAACGGAAATGTCTTATGTCCAACAATTGCCAAATGCGATAAGCATTCAGTACTAGAAAGGTTCTTTTCTTTTGATACGTTTAATTGATTTTTTTTTAGAGCTTTTTCAAAACTAGAAATACTTAGCAAAAATTTCATCATCACTATTCTTCCCGTAAGAACTTACATCCAAGACAATGAATTTATAATTAATATCTACAAGCGCTATCAACATAATTGGAAATGTAATTTTATAATTTGAAAAATTGTAAGCCGCACTATTTGGCAGTGCGAAAATCTCCTATCATGCTTTTTATTGAGCGCTCCCAAAAAACATTCCCAATGTTTTCCCAATCTTTAATTTTGGTGCTGATATTACTTCAACTAATAACTTATTTATTACGGCCATACACAGACTTCTTTAATATTATGAACAGTAGAATGTCCCAAGTGAAAACTAAATCCAATATTTTGAAATTAATTTGGTAAATCATTGTTGTTCATAATCTATAAATAAAATAATTTAATACAGAAATTAAATTAAATGTTATACAAAAAATTAAATACGTATAGTTAATTTTTATATTTGTTTATTTTATCACAAACATTTTTATATACACTAATTATACTATATATTAATCATTATATGTATAGTAGTATATAAATTTATTATACATAATAATATACATTATTATAATAAATTTTTAAAACATACAATTTATAGGGAAAATATGTAAAACTCGATGGATCTCACTCAGATGATTAACTTAGGAAAGTATTTAAAAACATAAAACCAAAAATGGACAAGCAGCATAAAAAAAAAAAAAAAAATATATAAGTATAAAAATTGCATATCTTTTATAATATTATTTTTTTAAAGAACGAGAAGCATATATTAACATAGCATCTCCAGAAAGTGAAGTGAAGAGTCAAATGACGAAGAAATTTTTTATCAGAACAACAAAATTACAGAAAAAGATATGAATTAGGAAAACAGCCTCTAAAATATCTAAATATTCATACTATACACACAAAGTCAATGTTTTAAAAACTAACGCCAATGCCTGTGGATTGCATTGACCAAAAATGCTTTATATGAATTAAATAGCAATATGCATAAAAATATAATTTTATAACTGTGAAAAAAATTTAATTTTTATTGATTAATATAATAATTTACTAAAAAAAAAAATTGATTTAATTTACTCTAATATAGGTATTATTAACATATTGTTTTATAATATATTATATTATATTTAACCTTTTAGTTCATTTATACAAATAAATCATTAGTGCTGTAATATTTTACCAGAATAAATATTTTTTAAAGCACACTTTTAAATTTCGTTCTATATACACAATTTTAGGGGCCGGTTGAAAGTGAACAAGATATTACATCGAAATGTAATAAAATTATGATGGTCACTAATGGAAAAAACAAAATCTCAAAAACATATTAAAATGTTACATAATTGCTAATAAAAAAACAATCCTTGTTAAAATAATCTCAATTTTATGATGTACCTACTATAATAACAATAAATATATAATGTAAATATTTTTATTTTTTTTAAAACAAGTTTATAATATAATATTGTTTTATAAGCGTACACCTACAATATATATATATATACATGTATTATTATATTTACCTTAAGCACACCATTAACTTTTTCTCGGCTGCAGCTTTTCGAAAAGTTGTATTTTTTTTTTTGTGATTTATCGTTCAATTTTAGTTAATAGAACATGAAATTGATGTTGTAAGCTCTAAAATATTTGTAAAATTAAATTTTTTCGTCTTACAAATCATATTGAATAATGTATAATATTCTCCAAAGTGTTTTATTTTCATTAACATTTTTCGTACTTATAATCTTCTATTATGTGATTGGTGTTGGTTACTTTTCTCTATTTACTCGTCCAAAATAATTGCCATTATTGCTAATATATTTTTATTTTTATTATTTTTTTTTGTTATTAAATTCTGGCATGTTGAAGAAGTAATTATATCATTACTATTAGAAATAATGAGCCTTAATTTAAAATCACTAGCCGACATTCCTGTACAAATTTCCATAATATGCGAAGATTTATAGTATGTTTAACGTTTCTAGAATTTCACGTGACGTAGCGTATCGTTAAATGTTAAATGTGAATGCATAATAAATTTAATGCGACCGCTGGCCGTAACGTGACGTCAATGTGACGTCAATGTTTCGTATAGTGGGAATCGACCTTAATAGTACCTGATACTATCTTTACAGAAACAAGAATGAAATAAGTTGTACATTTAATAAATACATGTTATAATATGTAAATTACTATTAAATACCGGTATATCTATACGAATTAATGATGTTTACAAGATGAAATATTTTCGTTTATAGTTCCGCGATGTATTATTATTTTTTTTTTATTAATATTATATGTTTTCCTGAGAAACTCTTATTAATTATATTATTAAGATACAATTTTTTTAACGTTGTGTAACAATTTATATCAATAATTACTTAGGTAAAAATATAATTTGATAACTTTTCTACAGTTTGTAAAATATTACTCGTATTATAAAATTTTGGGAATTATTTACATAATTAATCTGAAATGATAAAAGACCGATAATTCAACTAAATCCATAAAAATTATTTTTAGATTTTGTGTTGAACGATGGATGTGGGTACTGATCTTGCAATAATGAATGTTTTTAATTTTTTTTTTTTTTTTGTGTGTGGGTTCATAATCACCTTTTGGAACAGAAGAAATATTTTTATTTTCAACTTTAAGAGTAGTTTCTGATAGCAAATTGGACCAAGTCGCACGTTTTTGGCAAAAAATACAAATTCCTAGTTCTTTTTAAAATAATCAGGAAATAATATATTTTATAATATTTTAATTTATTTTGTTATTTTTATTTGTTTCAATGACTCAAAAATGAATAACCGTAGATAAGCTCGAAATTTTCACCAAACTTTATGTCAACATTTTTTGTGCACGGTTGAATTTTCAAAATATTCTGGCTCTTTAATTTGAGTGTTGAAATTTTCAAATTTTTTTCATTTTTTTTTTTTGCTACGAATGTTCATAAATAATAATTTTCCAGGTCATAAAACCTAAAAATGTAATAGGTACAAGGTTTCTTAAAAGTTTCATCTACTAATTCAAAAAAATCAAAAATGTATAGTCGCAATATTTTTTTATGAACATTTAAAATTATAATTTTGACAAAAATTCTTCAAAATGCAAAATAACGAAATATGGAAATCATATTTCAGTTAAACATTTTTAAATTAATAAAGTGTCTAATTTTTTTTAGTTAAAGATTGAAAATTTAATGCAAGATTTCATATAATTAGCTCATACCGTAATCGAAAAGTCTAAAAAATATATAAACTTGATTTATTTTACATAAACATTTAGAAGATAGAACATGAACGGAATTCTAAATTTAAACAATGAGTAATAATTTTAGTTATTTTTTAACAATTTAAAAATATTTTTCATAGAGATTTGAACTTAAACGTATATTACTATATTTTATAATAATGAAATTTTCAAAATATCTAAATTAATAGTATGTTATTGCTTATTTATAATTTATACCGTATTAATAGTAATAATAATAAAAAAGATGACTTTAAAAATTCATAGAAATTAGCAATTTATTATACTTTTAAGTATAACAGGCTGACAATCATCTTTGTTCAGAATCGTTTTTTGTATGAAATGATTTATTATTGAAATACAATTTTAAATTATAGTGTTCTACTCAATGACAATGTATTAACTAAAATTTTGGAGCAAAGTATAGTTACTTACTCACCCATTTTTTTTTCATTTTTTTTCTAACTATATCTGATATAGCTTCATAATAACACTGAATTAACGGATAATATTCAAGGTTATATGTAAAGCTTTTTTATTTAGTCATTGGTCATAGTGTTAAAAAAAAATTTCGTTACGTCAATAAATTGTTATCAATTAAATAAATATGAATTTCAAATGTTAAATTTATTCTGATGCAATTTGTAATGTTTTAATCATAATTAATAATACGTAAACAATTTTTTTATGTATTTTTTGATGAGTCAATGACATATTTTAATTTTAATACATCTTTCAATTATTTTCTTGAATACTATTTAGAAATTCTATTAAGTATTCTATTATGTTTTCATTTGAATTTCCAAAAAGATAAAATCCAAGAACTTTAAAATGTATCACTATAAGACCAATATTATAAATAGATCATCACTTGACTCATAACTGTAACATGGAATAATTTTTATTAAGCAAGTAGAATAGATAGGTACACATTTTAGGTACTTTACTTGTATGATAAAATACTTATAAAAATAGCTGAGTCAGCTGATTGTTCTAAAGAAATTGTTTAGCTTTGTATTCAAGTACATGATAGTTATATTTTTAATAAGCTTTAATTTGTTTATAGTTTCCAAGTATTTATCTGATTATAAATGTAGTTATTTTATCTATTAAGTATAAGTTTGTTGGATTAATGAATAATTTTATTTGCTTAATATACTATTGTTACTTATTAGTCACCTAAGATGTATAATAAATAGCTGTTAAAAGTCGCAAAAATCTCATTTTAAATTTTTACTCCATTTTATAACAAGAAGATTATATTATATCCTTATTGTAATATGAACTTATCGCTTAAATATCTTTGCCTGCTGGTAAATATAATTTATTTTTAACTTTTTAATTATTATTTCTTATGCTATACACTATATCTTATACATAATGTATTCCTAATACAATAGACGGCGTTTTTACTTCTTTGGTATTCTAAATCTACTATTGAAGCAAAAGAAATACTTGAATGCGACTTAGAATCTGGCGTATGCAATGGAAAAGATATATACATCAAACAACAACAGGTATATTATTTAACTAATAAAATAATTAATAAACAATATACATGTACTGAGGTACCTATTACATATTTATACTAAAAATGACTTTAAGGTGGCCGGAGCATGATACGTTTTTAGGAGTAGTATTTAGGCATTTAATATAGCATTTATATTTGAGTTGTGTTACTGTGTAAGAAATAAATGAATGTTAGTGTGTGTAATTTGTAAAATTCGCTATCGCGTTCTTGTGCCATCGACACCAACGACTCACCGCCCGCATATCGACCACATTACGTATTTCTAACTACGGACTATGAAGTTTAGATATCTTTTTATACTTCAATAATTTTTTTATGCTAATTAATATTTTAAATATTTTTTCCAGTTTATCACCATAACACAACTCGTCATTTTTATATTCTTTATTAAGGGTTACAAATTCTGATGTGTTATTTTTGCCATCATTACAGAACTCGTCATTTTCATATTGTATAAGAGGAGTTACAAGTTCTGATGTTAAATTATTTTGAAAATTATCTTCCGTTATAATTTGTATATTTGTTGTATTCGAATTTGTTTGATTTACATAATTTATCTACAAAAATTTATAATTTTAGAAAATATAGTATAAACAAAAATAAAGGTTGTATCTATTCGTGGCGATTAGCGCGCACAAAAAAAAAACAATGACAGTGGTTTCTACACGTAAAAATGTAAAATACAAATAGAATAATTTATAATAATTAATAATAATATATAATTATAATAATAATTAATTTAATAGATTTTTTATATTTATAGTTACTTTTTTAAATCCATTTATGTTACTAATATTTCCTTTGTTTTTCTTTCTTTTGGTTAAAAGAGTTTTAGTTTTTTTTCCATAATGCCAGTCTTTTTTTCTGTCCATAATATTAAAGATGACAAATAGTATGTAAGTATAATACAAAAAAATAGGTACTACACGTCGGTTTCAAACAAAAGCAGACGCCAGACTAAGCATAATTAGAATTTCGAAAATTAAAATAAGAATATTACTTTAACTCGCCATAGAATAATAATTTACCGGCGGAGACCAAAACAGGTGCGCTGGGCAAAAATTGTTAATTATTATATTATGTCCACCATCAGTACACGTGTTCTTATCTTATATATTCTAGGAATAATTATTAGCAATTTATTTTCAATTAGGATAAGACCACCGATGTGCCACGCCGATAAATTTCCACACGCGTAGGCACATGTCAATATTTTAGATTTTGTCAAATTTACGCCATGCCATCAAAGGACAAAAATGCCAAAAAATTAGACAAAATTGAGGGACTTCTATCCGACGGATTTTAATTTTGAAAATGAATATCAATTAGTCATTGTGTTAGTTAGGGAATGGCGGAGGGGATTTTGTATATTTAAATTCATTGATAGACAATAAAATATCGACAATTAAAGCATAAGAATTTCGGTATTTTATTTATTTTAAGTACGCCATAACTTTGTGTAAAAATGATAAATTTCCACAAGCATGCTTTAGTAGAGTTGTTGGAGATTTTAAATTAGTTTTTAAAATTAAAATTCGTCAAAACCAAATCCCACAGTTTTGTCTAGCTTTTAGCTTATTTTACGTAATAATTTGTACCTGCTCCAGCCACCTTAAGTGTAAACGATCTGTCCATATCACTAAATGTATTTTATGATTATTTATATTACTAGTGGCAGGAAAAAAATTTAAATTAATAAAATAGTAGATTATTGAATTAGTTTTTTGTAAATATTATACTTATTAATTATTATGTGTTGTTATAATATAATAACAATATATAATATATCTAGTTCTATTAACGTTTAATCTACCTCAGTTTTTGATTGTATTTAATATTAGATTAAAAATTGCTTAAATTATTTAATGATTCTAAAGAAACTTCTAATCTCTCTTTAATTTAGTTATTTTTTGTATTTCTATAGTTTGTAATATGTAGCCAAAGTATTTTCTTTTTCTCTTTTGTAATGCACTTCTTACGTTCACGTAGGTATGTAAACTTATTTAGTAATTTAGGTGTTTTTCTTTAATATTTTGAAAAGTAATGGACATTTTTTATTTTTACATCCTAAATGTACCAAATAGATCCAATTTTCTAACAGAATTCAAAAATTAAATTTAAAATTAATAAGACGGTAGCATTTTTTACTATAAAACGTAAATAGGTATATATACGAAAAAAAAATCAGTATCATTTTAAAATGAATACATTCTTTGCTCCGCCCAAAATCTTAATTAGCACTTCACGAAAATCGAATTGTTTTAAGCATAATGTATTACGTAATACTTATTTTTAGTATTTTATAGGTATTCAAATAATAAATAAATTTTATATTTTAAAATTAGTCATTTACAGTTTACATACTATTTTATTAAATATATTAAAAATTTAATTAATTTATCAAATTTTTCTATGTACACATTATTAGGACCCATCAGGGAAACCACAGCTGATTTCTTCATCGTTAAATCAAAGATCTGTGCGAAGGTCAGTGAATGCACTTGATATTTTTTGGCTAAGAAAAAGAAGAACTACAACGTTTAAGCCAAAAACGAATTCTACACTACAAACCGAATCAACGATTTATCATTCTAATTTTACTACCGAACTATGGAATACAACTACTGCTGCTCCCAATTCAACACATTATTATAATTCGACTACCAAACTATGGAATACAACTACTGTTGCTCCCAATTCAACACATTATTCTAATTTTACTACCAAACTATGGAATACAACTACTG